CAAGTGCTTGTTTACTTCTTGTTCCTGCCAAACAGGAGAAAACCACAGGGTCTGACTTGGATGGCATCTTTTGATTGTACTGCTTCTTGAACTCCTCTGGGTCCATTTGTAGAGCTTCCACTAATTCACCCACTGGGAAATACAGAAAACAAAGTAATATTTATTTTCCATTCACGGACAGGCTTACACTTCAAGGCTTCTAATTCCTCTAGAGGAAAAGTTCAACCTCACAACATACTAGCAGCTATCTAGCACCGCTGCTCTTTGTTCAGTCACAGCCTTGACCATCAAGCCAAGGGGAACAGGGAACACCTGACCCTCGCACTCAGCGGCGTTCATAACTTACGCGGGATGTTGATGGACTCGGGGATTTTTCCAAACCTGTCGATCTCCCACTTCTCCCGCACGTCAATGTGGAGCACGCTGGTCTTCTTCAAGTCTTTGAGCTCCCGGTAGGAGAGACTGGGCGCCCCGCCGGCGCACAGGCTGCGGCAGCTGCGACCTGGCGGGGAGGTACAGCGCCGTCAGCCGCCGGAGGCCCCGCGCCGCGGCCCGCGCCCGGGCAAGGACCGCGCCGCTAAAGACTCCAATCCACACAGGGGACCGCAAAACCTCACCCCGCCCGCCCCCCGAGAGACACGGCCGCCATCCCGCCCCTGCCTAACCGGGCGCTGCCGCCCGCAAGGGCCCGCGCGGGCCCGCCACCAGCCCCGGGCACCGTACCGGCCGCGCCCGGCCCCCGCCGCTTCCCGCCGGCCGCCAGCACCCGCCCCGCCGGCGGGGAGGAGACACCACGCCTTCTCCTCGGGGGCGGGGGCCCGGAGGTTTGATCGCTGCCGGCCCGCTTAGAAATTTGGGAAGCACCACGGGGGAAGCCACGCGTGGCACCTGCCCGCCCCCGAGGCACCCGGGTTAGGCAGCCGCCGCCTCCGTTTCGGTACATCCAGGTACCGCCGCCTTGCCTGGGCAGGGCGATTTCTACCACTGAGCCAAGCTGTCGAGAAGCCTTAAAGTATCAAAGGCTGGGAGCCTGAACATGGATGAGGAATTTTGATGCCAAATCTACTCAAAGTGATTTAAAAAATAAACAAACAACCAAAAAAACCCCACCACCAACAACAGAAAAAACAAAACAAACAAACAACAACAACAAAAAAAAACCAACAAAAAACAAACTTCTGAGTGTTATGTCCGAGGAGAAAATGTGATTTTAGTGATAGCCTGCATCCCTTTCACCACCGTCACTGCCCCCCTACAGCCACAGGAGTGTGGTCCAGGCACCAATCTCCTCTCTGGTGACCAGTGAGAGGATGTGAGGGAATGGCCTGAAGCTGCATCACAGGATGTTTAGGTTAGACATTAGGAAAAGGTTTTTCACCCGGAGGGTAGTCAGGCACTGGAACACCCTCTCCAAGGAAGTGGTCACTGCACCAGACCCACCAGGGTCCAAGAAGCGTTTGGACAGCGCTCTCAGGCATATTGTGTGATTCTTGTGGGTGTGCTGTGCTGGGCCAGGAGTTGGACTAAATGAACTTTGTGTGTCCTTTCTAACTCAGGATATTCTATGATTCTATGATCCCATGATCCCTAGTTTCAATACCCCTTGATTTTGAAAGCTGTCAGTCTCCCAGCCACAAGGACTGATGACCAAGATATGTAACTAGAGGAATGAGGGTCCTTCAGTTCCACACATTTTAAATCAATACTCCGTACTTACTACATACTTTTGCAAATATATCACATAGCAGCAGTTCCAGTTTTTAAAAGCAGGTATACTGGATCTTTTTGTAAAAGATGCATTTTGAGGAGTATGTCGTTGAATCTTTACTAATAAGAGTTTTCCTTCTCAAAATGAGAACAAAATACTTCTTGGTACTGTAAAGTGTGACAAATTGAACTTGGCACATATAACTGGTTCACTAGCTGCCCTTCTGCCAGCCTCTCCATATGGCCTCCTTGACAGGCATTTGCAAATTGTCTCTCTGAAGCAGTATATCTATATATGAGTTGAGGTTTCATGCATTTCCCATTTTCCACAAGATCTGGGTAGAATACACTACTTCTAGAAATTATATTTTGAAATATAATCTACTGTATATTTTATCTGTAGTAAAATAATATCCACGGTTAATCTCCACTCACTGTATGTTTCACTGTAAGGACCATAAAGCATTCAATGTGAAGCACTAGGATACTTGTCATATGAAATGCATATTCACATGAAACTGCATTTCTGTGGTTTTAATTTGACCCTGGATCATGCTATGTACACAAAGCGAGAACACGCTTGCTTGCAGAAATAGGAATCATCCACTATCCATCTTGTGAAAGACTGAGAGTTTGAAGTCAAAAGAGATCAAGCTTGGTGAACTCCTGTGGTTTGATGAAAAAGTGGGAAGCAGCACGTTCAATTCTGCTTTTGCCTTCATGGCACTGTCATTCTGCACTCACTCAACCCTTCCTCAGCAGCTTTCTTCATTTCATCTCTTGGGACTCTCATTTCACCTCCACTTCACTTTCCAGTTCTGCACAGCCTCCCACACTCATCCCCAGTGGTATAATTTCCCAGACCCTTACCCAGCTGCATTTACCCTTGCACATTCTTTATCCCCATCTTATCATTTGACCGAAGATTTTCTTGATCAAAGAAATGGTTTGCTAACCTAGGGTTTCACCATCTTACTGCCTTTCTGATTTTTTTGTTACCACATCTTCTTTTTCTATCATCTGACTTTTTTTCTCCCCACAAACTTTTCAGCCTTCACACCATATTCTTCACCATGCTTTACTATTTGCTTTTGGCCTCTCTCTTTGCTCTCTCCTTTCTTTCATGCCTCCAATTGCTGGTGATTTTAGTGCTTCTTCTTGCTCCTTTGCCCTTAACCTTTCATTTTCTCTTGTTACTAACCCCCAAACTTCCCCTTCTGCCAGTGCACAGACATTTTACCTCTTCCAGATATTTCTGTTCTCCTCTCCTGAGATAAATGAACATATTCCCCTTCATATCCCACTATCCCCATTTCACACATGCTCACTTTTCCTTCCTTCTCTTTAACCTTTGAAAGTAGTTATTACTCTTGCAGTGCAATAATTCTCTAATATTATTCTCCTGTGTGGAGTAGGAAGGACCCACTTCTTGATCCAATTTGTTTCAGATTATTGTCCCACACCGTTTCTCCCTCTCACATATAGACTCCATTAACATGGTGTGCACAATACATGTCTGAACCACCTCCTTCACATGGTCTGCAGTCTGCCTGCAGATCTTTGTGCTCAGTTGTTACCACGGTCACTGATGTGCCTAAAGAATTTCTCCTACCTAAAATCAAATTCTACTTAATTTGTCAACCTGTTTCAGCAATACTCTTCTGGACATCTTGTGTTTGCTTGGTCCAATGACTTCTACCTGCTTCTCTAACCATTGTTTCAGCTTACTTGTCAGCAGATCCACTACAGGTTCTCCATCCTTGGTTCTAGAGGGGTGCCACAGCGACCTCACCCCTTCTCCCTTTTTACTCTATGCCTTATTATTGGGTGATCTTATTCCAACAAAACTGCTATTTCTCAGTCCTTAATTCAGATTTGCCTTCTGTCCAGTAAAGCCACCTGTGTTTTCAAGCCACTTGCTGGGTTTAATCCCAACCCCAGTTTCAACTAGTTCCTCGAGCGCTGGACACCCTTTACTCTGCCTGTCCCTCAGGGGGGATATGCACCTTTGATTCTGATCTCCCTTCAGTCCCTCCCACAGTGGCTGCCCTGAAAATACACGCAGGGCCCAGACCCTGCTGTGTAACCTCTGGGCACGACTGTCCACACCCCTGCGCGGGCACAAACCCGGCGCAGCATCTCCAGCTCTTTCAGCAAAACTCCGACGTGAAGGTCACCCCACCACGTCTCCCTTCTTTTGCACGCCCTTTGCCCCAAGTTTCTAAGGTGCCCTGCAACCAAACCCACCGCTACCTGTCGCCTCTCAGCGGGCCTGTGGTGCGCTCCCGCTCCCCACGGCCCTTCCCAGCCGGGGCACGCGTTCTGCCCTCGAACCAGCACCAACCCGTGCGGGAGCGGCCCGGGCAGCGGCCGGGGCGGGGGAGCGGCGCGGCGGGGGCGGAGCGGGAGCGCAGCGGGCTTCCTTCGCCGCTTCCTGCTGCCGCCGCGCCGCCGCCGCCGCCGGCGCTCTGTTTGAGTGCGGGGCGCGGGGAGGGGGGTCCGCCGGCACAGCGCGGGGGCGCCGCGTCCGTGCACGGTCCCACCCCGCGCAGCCGGGGGGACTCGCGGGGCCGCGGCCGGAGCGCCGGGTTCCGGCCGGGCCGGGCCGGGCCAATCGCCCCGCCATTGGCGGCGGCAAGGCCCGCGGCCTGCGGAGCCGCGTCCCGGGGGCGCCGGAGCTAGGGAGCGGGCGGAGGGGGCTCTGCCCGCCGTGGCCCGGGCCGAGGCGAGCCGCCCCCGTCGCTGCTGGGGTACCCCGGGGCTGCGCTGCCCGCGCTTCTCCGCAGGGCGCCGGGCTGGGGCCGAGCGCCGCTCTTGTTGGGTCGCCGGCGACGAAGGCTGCTGGCGGCGACCGCCGCTGTCGCCGCTGTGAAGCGGGTTACCCTTGCCGGGATATGGTCCGGACCCGCAGCGCGTGTTCCTTGTGTATTAACATTGAGGAGAGGCGGCGAGCAGGCGCCTTGTGGCAGGCGCTGGCTACGCTCCGGTCACATTGGCGCTGGGCCCGGGGGTACGATGGTGCCCTCGGCTCCGTGTCGTGCGGCAGCGCGGCTGCTGCGGCCCCGCTGTGTCGGCCCGGAGCTGCCGCGGCCTCGGGGTCGGTGCCCAGCGAGCACGGACTGGCCCGTGTCCGGTGGTCAAATGACAGCCCGGGGGCGGCCCTCGCGATTAATCGGAGAGAGACGTGGTATTTTAGACCCATAGCTGCAGCTCTGCACGTTGTATTTGATTTGATGTATGGGATTCTCTGATTCCTGGCCTTTTTTTTTTTTTTTTTCTTTTGCTATGATGTCCTTTAGGACTTCATTCTGCCCTTGCTATAGATATGTTGCTACTCGCCCTATTAAACAGGATATATGTGACGGTGTATTAAAACAAGGGAGCAGTAGAATGAAGACGTCAAGAACATCGAAGCAGATGACAGTAGCTGCAGGTGTAGCACTATATTCTAGTTGCATCTCATCTTTACAAGTATTTCCCGATTCCATGAAATAGTCCTCTCATATGAGCATATAGAGCAGAGCCGTAGTTAAAGGATTTGTATTTATTTGTATTTAAAGTATACTTTCTGCTCTCATTTTCTAACTTTTAAGTGGGAACATAGTAGTGACACGAACATGTGCCAGATTGAAGCAGAATATGCCTTTGTGAAATTGTTTTGGTGTTTACTACATTTGTAAATATTTTGTCAGATTTGTTCATGAAATATTGAAGAACTGGTGCTCTGTAGTTTCATTTCTGAGAGATTCACAGAACTGCCACTAGCGTTTCAGGGGTTCTGTTTTGAGCATCAATTATAGATTGAGGACAAGTTGTTCCACTTCAGACATGTCATCAAAGCAAACTGGGGCAGTTTGTGTGGAGGAAGAAAATGGAATGAAATTTTTTGGTTTTGGTGGCAAGACTTAGGCTTTCAAAGAGCTCAAACTAGTTTTCAAATTTATGGTTTTATGTATTCTACCCTCATTACTTAACTGATCTCTCAACACTCTTCCAGAGTATATGGGAAGTTATGCACAGCCATTATCTTCATTTATCTGCTCCAACTCAGCTGTTTAGGCAGAGGTACAGCGGGAGTCTTAGCTTAACGTATGGTCTTGTGTGGGTTTCAGCCTTCTGTCTCACACACATGCTGCAACCACGGCTCCTTTTTTATTTTTCTGAATTCACAGAATTAGCATTTCTCTGAAGTTCATCCTTTGCTCATTTTGTCCTTCATGTTCTCTGACCAGCTTTTCCCCAGTTTTTGGCCACATGCTTATCCCGTGAAGGTACTGTGAGTTCACTGGTTACTCTCCAGCTGTTTCAGTTGTCATACTCTCGAACTTTCTGTGGTGATGGCACTGTTACATCTGTGTTCATATCACAGGAGTGTACAGTCTGTCAGCTCTGTCATCTGACTGCCTTTTCACATAAAAGTTTTCACTTGCAAACCAGCATTATTAGTTATAAGCTCTGGCTCTTCTTCTGATACTGTGTTTTGCTTTTTAAAGCGTGAATTTTCTTGGAAAATCCACGTTGGACCATCAACACATCTACTCAGGTGTTTTTCCCTCTTGGTGTGTTCATATTTTTTAAAAAAAATGCATTTAATGTGGGATAGAAAACATAAACAAAAGTTGCAATTTGCTCTATGGAGCTGGATATTGATATACATATCGCTGAAATTTTCCTCAAGACCTTTGCTATAAGATACTAGCAAAAGTATGTTATCAAAATGCTACTCTTTTTACCCATTCATTCCTTTAATATACTCTAGTTATCAATCCAGTTACAGAGTCTTCTCATTCTTTTTTCTGGACATATTTGGTTTCTGTTCATCCTTAGAAGTAATTTTTTTGTGGCAAGTGGGTTTCAATAGGAAATCTGAGGGGGATTGTGCAGGATACAAACATAAATGTTGACAACCCATGTTTACCATGGGCAGCTGGATAAAATAGATTAATGAAAGTGAGAAATGCTATGGGATAGATACAACTCAGGAAGTTGTATCTAGTAGTCCAAAGGCTCCGTCTCACTCCTTGCTGAGAAAGTACATCAGTGTCTCACCCTTTTAGGAATGTACTATAATGTCAGGATTGGCATTTGAGCTCCAGTGACGGTGTAAGATGTGTGATGTGCCTTTGGGCTAGGAAATCTTGGAGATGACGCTTTCAGAATTTCAGATGACATTTTCCAGGGGGAGAAGCTTTGCTGCCACTACCAGTCAGCAATTCTGGTCCTTTTACTGCTCTAGCAGGCAGTGGGGGCTTGTTTGCTGCAAAGGTTTTGGTGGCTGTCAGAGTGATGAGCCTCCTGGCCCACTGATGGGTGACACTGTCCAGTTGCTAACTGTGATGGATGTGGTTCCTGCTTTGATTGGGTGACATTTGGTCTAGTGGTGAGCAATCCAAAATGCCATAGGTAATGCTTGGAACAGATGTCCAAAATATATCAACTTGCAACTTACATCAAAACATGTAGCAGTTCTACATGTAGTAGTGGGGGGGTCTGGCATTACTGACCCATACAAGGCTCTTCTTTCTGTGCTGTCACAGTTACGTGGAAGATCATAAAGACCTGTCTCAGATGTGCTGTGGAGCGTCTTTGGACTTAATCTGCACACCTGTGCTGTTCCTCACCCCTTGCCTTGGAGTAAGGCTGCTGTTGAGCTGGAAGTGCTAATTTTTCCTTGTATTCAGTGAGTGCTATGTCCTTTCAGTGTGACACAGGTTTTTCTTTGCATTAGCAACAAAAAATGGTATAATTTAAACTTGAAACTTTGACTACAAGTGGTGAGACAGCTGGAATTCAGAATACCTCAGATGAAGTGAAGGATTGAGGTAAATGTATTTGCCCCATCTTCCTTGAATTCAGGTACTCACTAATGAAATAATTAACAATATTGGTTTCACGGTTAATGGACAGTCCTACTGGGAGAGTATTACCCATATCCAAAATAGTATCTGGAGACTATCTGTAGACTCACTTGGCTGTATTTCACAGGTTAAGTATGCTTAAATAAACTGGTGTGTTTTTTGTCGTTTTTATCTTGTTTGCATTCTAGCAATGCAACTGTAATCCTCCTAGTTAATCCAGAATCAGGAAAAGTATTGGAATAGGTGTTACACAGATAAGAACAAAAATGTGGCACTCACTTGAAAGAGCTGGCTCCCTAATTATAAGAGGAGGGAAAAAGTGGATCTTGGCAGATAGAAGCAGTGATATAGTATTAGCCAGTAGAGCATGTTATTTCTCTAACAGGGGTGGTCTGGTTCATGTTTCTTCTAAGCATCATGGTGAAAGTACAGCATGTGAAAACTCATTAAGGTGATACATTTCAAAATTTAGTAAGTGAACTATGTAGGCATTCTAGGAGGGACTCAGCTTCCAAGTAAGAAGGGCAAGATGGTAAGATGGGAAAAGATGTTGTGAAGAGGAATGATTTGATTGGTTGGTTGGTTTTTGTTTGGTTTGGTTTTGTTTCCCAAAGAAAAGTGATTTTTAGTTCATACTAGCCTTTTATTGGTCCTAGCTCTACTGAGTTACAGTAAAATGTAATTTTTTTAAAAAAATAGTTATTTTAGGAAGTACATTCAGCTCTTGTAAGTATCTAAATGTATACTTTGTAAAGAGAGTCTATTTCTAAGTGTAGGAATATTAATGCTGTTAAATATAGACTTTTTCAGGCATACCTTACATTTAAAATAGTCTAGGCATACCTTAGATTTAATTTAACAAATTCAGCACATTGATTTTTGGCACTTAGTCAAATTTGAAACTTTTAAAATTAGATAGGGCAGATCAGTCTACTGCTTTTGAAATGGTTTGTCCTTTCTAGAATGGTGGAAATGAGCAGTTGTAGTGAGGAGGTTTTGATCTTAATCAGCTTTCTGTAGGCTGACTGACATTAGTAGGAGTCTTTTAAGAAGTAAAAAGTTAATAACAGAGGATAGCTAGTGATGATGATTACACTTCAAACTTTTGTATGCTGAGCTCAAAGAATCTTAACATGTTTATCAAGGACTAGTTCTTGGTTTTGTATTGAATGATTTTAAAAAGGAAGAGATTTAGCTTTTTCTAATGTGACTTTTTCTATTTTTCACCTTTTCCCCATGGAACTGAATAATTTCTACTTAAGATTTTTACTGTGTGCCAAATAGAGATCTGGATGGAGCTAGCATACCCTCTGAACTCAGCTTTTTCTACCACAAAAATTGATGTCATTTTAGTTGTCAGATTCATTAGTCAAATATCTTGTGCACCGTGACTTGATTTTATGTATGCAAAAATTTTTTGATTATGAAATGTTGATCATGTTAAAATTCTTAAGAAAGATCTGTGATGTTTTCTGTCCCTAAATGTACTGGAAAAGGGCAGATAGTATTGCATATATACCGTGCTACTTCCATCATAGATCATATGGAGTAGCTCATTGCTCTTACCCTTCCAGCACACTTACATGCTTTTCAGTCAGGCACAAACCCTGTCTGTCTAAGTCCTTGATATGCTCTGGCTTTTCCAAGAGCTCACAGGTCAGTAAACATTGTCTGATGGATGCCCCTCTATATGTGTGTTCATGAAAAGTAATTAATCTAATGGTCCATGTTGTCTTTAGCTCTGCCTGCTCTTAGTGAAAGGAGACTGAAAAGTGTCTGGGCTGTGCCGTGGGTTCCCAAACCCGCAGTGTGAATGCCAGCTTCTTATGCCAGTGTTCATTTCTAGTGCCGTGTTGATTATGCCGGGCTTGAAATGCCGTGTTTTCAGTCATTGTGGTATCAACTGACACTCTCTTTTCCACGTGTCCTGAAGGTCCCTAGAGTGTGGGTTCAGCAGTGGGCCGTGTGTGCCTCAGTCTGGATTGTGTCACCTGCTCTGCTTGCCACAGGCTTCACAGGTGGTAAAAACTTGCTTGTATTTCAGCTGGTTGGGCCTGTAATTATTTATCTGAGCTCTGAAAATGTAGTGATATGAACATGTCTTTCATTGGGGTGAAGTCTGTGGTTTGGACAGTCTTACATAATCTGTCCAAAGAGATCAAAATTGTTATGCTGAAATGAACTCGTAGGTTGTTTATGTCAGTGTCGAATAACCTAAACACAACTATGTTCCTTTAGGGAGGACATTTTTGCTACCTTTCCTATTGACTCTTTACATAATTTAGTGCAAAATATTAGGGTTTCTAACAGCAACTGTGTTGGCCTTACTGTTTGATATATGTCTCGATGAATGTTGTGCTCAGTTAAGCGGCAGTGCGACAAGTGGTGATGGGTAGTTTCACATGAAGCTTGGATATGTACGATGAGGTGCCAAGGCAGAAATACACAGCTGAAGTTGTTGGAATCTTTTTGTGTTCTAGGGATGCCTTATGCATGGCTGTTGATGGACGTTAGGTGTGCTAACATTTGTTCAACATAAATAGTCAAGGGCTGGAAGATTTAGATCTTTGTTACTGTATGAGCAGGAATTGTGAACCTGTGAAAGCAGCAAAGCTGAATTCAGTAGCCTTGTTCACTTGCATGTCTAAGCATTTGAAGCTTTATAACTGTAAGTATAGGAAAATTTTAAAGCTGTAATTTAAAAACATCATATTTAATATAGTATAAATTAATTTCCATGTAAATGTAGCATTCTGCAAAAAATGCATTGTATTTTGAAAGGTTGAGGAGCCATGAAGCCGTTGATGCAAAGAAGCAGAGAGTAAAGGCTTCTTTTGTACTCTACAAAAATTTGACTTGTCCAATGCAAATCTGTAACCTATATGTAACCCTTCATGCAGAAAACCTCCAGCACTAATAGTATGGGCAGCAGGTGCAGAGATGTCTGTCCAGTTGCATAGGAACCTGGAACAGGACCTCTGACATACGGATTGCCTGCTTTGCTTCAGTGCAGGCTGTTCAGATACTGCTGGTGGTGGCGCTCTACTATCAGTATTGATGACTGTTCTGCTGATTGGCTTAGTGGATAAGAAAGGAGAGGGAATATTGAGTTCAATACACTATGTCTCTTAGAGTAATACAAAGGTTTAAATGCATATACAGAGAAGATTAAAAAAACTTAAGTAGGCTAACTTTCTAAACTTTGGCAAACTTAACTAACTGATATGTAGTAATAATATATCTTTTGCTATTCCCAAATGTAGGGCATTTTAGAGTTTTCCTACACATAAATGCAGTAGCACAGTTGAAAATGTTTGGTAGTGGTGACTCAGGTGACATTACTAACCTGTCTGTGGTACACAACAAGACATCATTTTTTTTCTAAACAGAATGGCTCACAGTTTGCAGTGTATGAATATTTGACTATCTTACATTCATATGCTTCACATATGAAACAAAAATTTGTTTTTATGAAGCACACTGTTAAAAGACAAACTGTAAACTAAGCTCCAGCAGCTGTTTGTGTGATGCACAGCTACACTCCTTCAGTGAATTCACATTTGGATTTTGATGAAATGACTGGTGTGCTGAAATCTCTGTGTATTTTTTTATGTTTAATGGCAAATATCTATGCTTTAATTCTCTTCCTTATAGGGCTCCTTGATTAATGACCCAAATTTCCTATGAGAAACCTCATCCTTACGGACTCTCTGATGTTTAATAGAGGGGTCAGCTTGCATTCCAGTTTTTCATCCCTCATAGGATAGGACACTTTAATCAGATTTGGAAGACTTTTTGTATTTACTTAGAGTGTTTGAAATTGTTCAAAAACTTTTAGGGAATTTGCCAAGGGTAAGGGATGATTGTAACCTTTCCTAAGGTATATATTTTAAGGAAGAGAAGCTTTTATTTTGATGATGCTTTTCTGGTAAGGTGTGGTTGGAGCTCTGTAATAATTTGCTTTACAAAAACAAAAATAAAGGAAATCTTGGTATCTCAGATATTTAACAGCACTGTCTAGAAGTGTGTGTGTGTGTATCCTCTATTGCCACAGATACAATTCATGATGTCCTGTAGTGTAAGTGATCTTTCGACATTCCTACTAGTTCATTCCTGACACATTCATAGTCCTTGTTACACAGTAACTGACATTAGTCCAAGCCTAGAACTGTGTTAGTGAGGTTTGAATGTGTGATTTGATCTTGTGCTTTTAGAGTTCAAACTCATTACATTTGGTGAAGCATTTACATAGCAATAACAATAAAGCAACATCTGTCTCTCTTTCCTAGGAAGTAACAGATGCGGGTGAAAGATCCATCAAGAACGAACTCCGAGAAGCCGAAGAGAAGCAAAAGGCCTAACAGGCCACAGGATGAGGACTCTTCAGATGATATTTCAGGTAAGTACATTAGGTGATTTTTGTCCCTGAGGTTAGGGCTAATAAATTCCATATTGACTGATGAAAACCACAAAAAAAAAGTACCGTGAAATACTTTTCTTGTTTGAATGTGTAACAAAATATCCCCACTCAGTTGTTTATGACATGATCATTTCTTGTGCTACATGCCTACCCTGAAGGGCTGGAGAGTTGGTTGATCTTCGATGACAACCTCTTCAAAGCAGAACAGTCCTTTCCTCGCCCTGTAAGGTCATGCACATGTGGCAGGAGGCTGCTTGGCTGAGTGGGGAGCTTCCAGATAAACTCAGAGGAAAAAAAAGAAGGGCAGAGAGGGTGATGACATGTTTGGGCTGTCCTTGCAGAGGATCAGAGTGTGCAGGATTAGGAATTAGGTAGACCAACCTCAGTTAGAGTTGGACCTGATGAGAGGTATGAAGAGTAAGATGGGCCTGTATGGATACCATGACAGTAAAATGATAGCTAAGGTGAGTGCAAACCTGCTGCATGAGGGTTCAGAGGACCTAGGGACACAGGACATGGGAAAAGGCTGAGGAAATCAATTTTTACTTTGCCTCTGTCTTCACATGTGAGTTCTTCACTTGATCCTCTCTGACCCCTGAGCCCAATGCCAGACTCAACGTTGTCTAGAGAAGAAGATGGAGAACCGTTAAACAAAGTGGATGTCCACAAGTCCATGGGATCAGATGGGATGCACCTCAAGGTGCTGAGAGAGCTGCATAATGCTATTATAAGGTTACACTTTGCATCCTTCATAGCAGTTGATATGCAGGAGGGCAGGTCTGCCATTCAGAGTGACTTAGACTGGCTGGAGAAATGGGCTGGCAGAAACTTGTTAGAGTTCAACAAAGGCAAGTGGAGAGTTTGGCACCTGGGCATAACCACATGCAGTTACAGGGTGGGAATTAATGGCTCGAAAGCAGCTTTGCCAATAAGGTCCTGGGGGTCCTTTGCTGAATGCTGATGCTGAATAAAACCAAGCTGTGCTGTTCATGCTGACTGTATGCAGGACTATATTAATTAGAGTACAGGGCAGGCAAGGTACATGATTCTTTCCATCTTTTCAGCATGGGTGAGACTTCACCTGGAGTACTGTGTCCAGCTGTGGGCTTCCTGTTACAAGAAAGACACTTACTTGTCAGAATGAGGCCAGTGGATCACCCCCCTCCACATTGTTAAGGAAATTGAGAACATGATGTGGGAAGAGAGGCTAAAAGGAATGTCTTTGTTTAGCCAATGGAGTGAAAGTATAATTTCTTTCTTTGACTGCCTGATGGTAGTTACAGAGAAGGCAGAACTAGATTCTTCTGGGAGGTCCACAATGAGAAGACTAAAGGCAACAGACAAAAGTTAGGCTATGGAAAATTTGACTAGGTGTGAGGAAATTTATTTTATTTTCACTCTGAGGGTGGCGAGACAGAAAACAGATTTTCTAGTGAGTTGGTAAAACCTCTGTCCTTGAAGATATTCAACACTCAGCTGAACAAAGCCATGAACAAATAGATCTAATTAGTATTTGTCTCTGCTTTGAATGAGGGTTTGGACAAGATAGCCTTCAGAGGTTACTGCAAACCTACCTTATGCTGTGATATTATAGTGGAATTTGTGCAAAAAATACGAGAGAGAAGAATGGTTGATATTTGTGTTCAGAATGAGCAGTCGTACTAGAGATGCATGGGTATTTCCAAATCTTTCTTTATGGGTTGAAAAGAAGGTCAACTGCCTGCGTTATTGTGTACAAAAATAGATTTATATAGTGTTTTACTGTCAAAACCCGGGGAAATTAGTTTTGTACAGAAGTAGTGCTTGTACTTTTGTACAAAGTAGTTTTCTGGTTTTAAGAGGTGGCGTTTCTTGGCTTGAAAAGAATTTTCATTACAGAAAGACTGAAATAGGTCCTTCATAAAATTCAGTATATGAGGAGCAGCTGGCTGATCTTTCCTATGCTAGTTCTTTGCTATTTTTTTTCCTAATGTTGAATTCGTCAGAGATTATGCTCTTGTAATATACACATGCTCCCTTTCATAGCTATTATTTTTAATGGATAAGGTGAGTATCTGTTGTTTTCTCTAGGCTTAACCTGCCAGCACGTGAGCCAAGCAGTGGATGTGCATCATGTGAAGAGAGCAGTGGCTCAGAGTGTCTGGTCCATATGTGCAGAATGTCTGAAGGAGAGGCGGATGAGTGATGGTGAGCCCACAGCACCTTCAGACATATGGCTGTGTCTCAAGTGTGGCTCTCAGGTGAGCACATGCGCTAAATGGAGGTGGATTTTCTAAAGGATATGACTGGTGTGAGCCCTTGTCTGTTTGTCTTCCCATTACCTTCAGTGAAACAGTGTGACATAAGTGTTTAGTTGTGAGAGTCCATGCTTCAGCTTCTTCGGGGAAGTGGGATGTGACCTTATGTTCTTGTTTCATTTTTTGGCAGTTTTGGGTTAGCTTTGTGTGTTACGGTGTGATTTGTCATCATGATTAGTAAGTGACAGTCCTGCCTTTTCTCTGTTCTTCATCTGCATGCTCTTGCCATTTACAGAGAATTGGCACCAGGAACTGTGTGGCTGCAAAATGCATCCATTCAGATGGCTCATCTGGGAGAAGTTCCCACGAATACAAATGAAAGAAAAACCAAATGTGTATATTGCTGAATCAGCTTGTACTGTGGATGCTCAATTGCTAGATTTGATTGAAACCAGGGAGAAAGGACAGTGCCAGAGTGAGAATGCTGCTTCCATGGCAGCTAGTCATTAGATTGGATCAATTATAATGTCAAATCTTGGCCTCAGAGTTTAAAACAGCAGGTCCTGACCCCAGGGGCTTGCACAGGTTTCTTTCCTGTGACTGAAGTAAAGCCTGATACAGAAAAATTCAGTTTATGGGTAATGTCAGGTTCGGTTCAGCCAATAGTTGCCTGAACAAAGCATTTCACAATTTTCTTAAGACTTTCAGTAGGTTTTGCTATAGTAAGGACAGAAGCCAGCTCCTCCCAGTATAATCTGAACAGATTTAATTTTGCAAAGAAACATGCTATTCACAGGCTTCAGAAGTTAGTTAACTAGATCTGAGGAGGACTCCTGTATCTTATTTGAAAATTTCTAGTTAAGGAGGGTTTTTAAAAAGAGTTAATTCTGTGTGATTCTTCATGTTCATGCTGTTAAAAGCTTCCAAAACTCATGTCTCATTCAGAGACCAGTCTTGGAAGACCCACTCTGTAGATACTTGAAAAATTGCAAATGCTTTCTCTCAAAATTGCTGTATATAAATGGTGTGTTCTGAGTAGCTTTTTAGTGCAAAACACTTTATCTCCCTTTTTCATTTGCTGTCTGGAATGTATTTGGCATTCTTGAGCAGTGAGGGTTACCTATGCTGTCCTTTCCTTGATATTCTGTGGGCCAAATATGCTACATAATTGTTTCTTTCACAACTTTTAGAGCATTCTTACTTTTGTGAATGGCATCATTTTCTATTGATACTTATTTAATACTTTTCCAAAAGCTAGGAATTATTTCCATTCAGTTAAAAGAAACCTTAATGAATCTCTATGCTTTTATCTGATTTTTCCAAGTAGAAGAGATGAGGTTTTGGTTTTGTGTTGTCATTGATTTTCCTTTATTAGTAAAAAAAGTTAATTGGTATCTTTATAACACTGGATTATAATAGATGTTAAATCCTTTCAATCCTTGGGAATGCTAAATGGGTAGGGCAGAATAGCTTCTTGTCTAATTTTGAAAAGTGAAGTTTTTGTCATTTATTTACTAATAATATAGTGTTTTCCTTCTTCCCTTTTCCCCCCCTTACTGTGTTGATGTTTCCATTTTTAGGGATGTAGTAAGAATTCGGAAGGCCAGCATTCTCTGAAACACTTCCAAACAGCACGCGCAGAACCTCATTGCATTGTTATCAACCTCAGCACGTGGGTCATATGGTGAGAATGGGTATGCAGGGGTTTGTGTAAGCTTGTGTGTAAGGATACAGACAACTTAAAGGAGTGTCTTCTCATGATAAAGAATGATTCTGACAGATAAATTTAATACTTTCTATAGAGGAAAGGGAGGCTTTCTGGAGAGAAAATTAATTTGTCCTTTGAATTGTCTGATAATATTTAAATCTCTAAGTGAATTGGGACTGATCCGTAGATGAGCATATACAAGATGAGGGAATTCAATTCCATCTCTCTTTTTAGTGTGAAAAATTGAAACCTACATCTTAAGTAATTTTTGTAAGGTTGCTTGAGAGGCTTGTTAGAGCTGGGAGGTGCATGCAGATACTCTGAATTCCGGTTTGTTTCTTCTTTTGTTTAGGTGTTATGAATGTGATGAAGAGCTGTCAACACATTGCAACAAAAAGGTTCTGGCTCAGATAGTTGACTTTCTTCAAAAACATGGTGCCAGGGCTGAACCAAGTAAGTTTGCACAAAAAGCTTTATCTGGAGACATCTGTAATGTACTGACTGAACATTTCAGATTTTGAGTCATGTTAAAAATACAACTAAAAAGTTATGTATAATATGACTATAATGTAATTTGTAATTGCACAACTACTTGGGCAAGTAATGCCTGTCAAAACATGATGTCACTTTTTTGTACAGTTTAATTATATTTGAAAAATATTTTGGGCACTATAGGACAGTTTTTCCAAATTTTGTCTGTAATGAAAAAGGTTTATAATAGAGAAGTTGTTACCTTAAATATAATGCAATATAAAGTAATGCACAAAAAATATGTTGAAGCATACACTATACATTTACTATAAAGGAATTGAATTTCCCTATTATGGATGTATCAAAGCTACAATTTTTCTGATTTAAATTCATTCTACACAGTTAAATTTTTTTTTGAGTGGATTTTCTAGTACTCTGTTGTTGTATGTAATGTTAATTTCTGCTATTTGGTTTTAATTGATAAAGTGCTTATTTCTATTAGTAGAAGATAGTATTAAATTATTTTCTTATATTAGGAGCCTAATAGACCTTCTCAATATATGTGATTGTCGATAGAACTTTGTATATGTGGCCCTCAGCTGTCTGCTCTTGATAACATTGACATTACTCATCTCTGCTGTAACACGCTTGGCAGCATTTCTGGCTTGTGACTTAGAGAGTGCATTGAATTTCAGATTTTCTACTCAAAAACCAGCTTGAGTAAACTTTTAAAACAATTGGTTGCATTTTTTAGCTGAGATAATCAACTGGTTAGAAGTAAGAGTGGAGAAGGACTGCCTTACTGAATTAGACTAGGTATTCTAGCTCCATGTGCATAAATTCTACTGGTTTTAAGAGTTGTTACGTATTTTTTGAGTGGAGAAAATTAAGGGCAACTTAGAAATATTATATTTTGATCAAATCACAAGTTATATGTTAAATTATTCAATTGTAATAAATTGATAAATTGCTACTTTTTGCATCTTTTTTTCTTGGAGATATGAAAATACACTATGTGATTTTACTTTTGTTCACTTCAGTTTCTCTTCAGTTTCAAATTCATGTGTAATAAGTGGTTGTTGCAACTTTCCTGCAAATGAAAACGCTGCAATGTTTCTTTCAGTTAATGTAATGTATTCGTGCAAAAAGTGTGTCTGTGGACTTCCAGTGATGTTTTAAAAATGGAAGTCTGTAACCCTCTAAACTGTGGCTGTGCTGAGAAGTTTGGATTGCATTTGTAAAAGGTCTGGGACCATTGGCCTAAAGATGATTTGCTGGGTTTTTTTAAGTGGCAAGGAAAAGAGGAAAAAGCTTCTGCCTGGGACACTCTGTTGCTTTGACCAGGCTTCTTGCTGGAAGAGGCTGGAAAACAGTCGTCTATTTGTAAAAGAAATGTGTGACAGGGAACTCTCAACCAGAGTTGGCATTCTTGGTTCATTTTGATAAATGACACACTTGCTACTTCCCCTTACATAGAAATCTATGTAAGGTTTTTTCTTTTATTTAAATTAGACTACCTTTAATGATTTTTAAAAAACAGAATCTGAAATTGAAATGTAATTCTTGCTGTTGTCCAGAACACAAAGGACACAACGAATAACTGTGAGAGTTAACTCTACTTTTTTTTTTGTTTAATTTTTATTTAGTTTAACATTTTATTTCATGTCTATTGATATTTTCAGTGTAACTGTCATCCTTGAAATTATTAGTTGGCATAGATTTTTAAAATTTATTTTGTATATTCAGCCATTACAAACATAAAATAATTTAAAAAATATGAAAAATAACTGGAGAGAAACAAGCAGTGTAAAACTGACAATAACCAATTCAATTCATATTTCTCATTTAAAAATCAGTCTTGTGCTTTTTTTTCCCATTGCTTTTCCATTTCTTCCTAAAAAAGCAGTCAAAATGAAGACAGTTTTCATATTAGAATGTGGCACCTTAACAACAATTTGTCTTATGCCTGAATTTCTTTTTGTCGTAACAACTGGTTGTCAGGGTGCATCATTAAAATTCAAATAATATTGTGTAGAAATTTCTGTAGAGATGCAGTATGAACATGGATATAAGTAGCAGATGAAGGTTGCTCGGGTTTTTTTTGGGTTCTCAAAAGTGCAGGATTCATTTAAAGATAAAATGATCAGTTTAAACATGTAAGGGAGGGTTATATAGATTTCCTAATTAATGCATCTTGGAAAATAAACAAAAGCAAAATGCTTGTCATTTGGTACTAATGTGGTGGAATAGTGTGGCAGCAGGATCCCTGCTTTTCGCTCGGCCTCTCATAAAGATTCAACTTCACTTCAGCTGTAAAAATGTGCAAATTACATTACTACTACATGACTGACTTTTGTAATTACATTAAGCGATTGAGATAAATCCCAGTGCTGGGTTCCCAAAAGAATGCTTGCAGCTGTGTGATTTTCGCATCTGATCCTATGGTTTGTTGTACCCAGCAATGCCTGCTTCTTTCCCCCCCTCCCCCCCCTTTTTTTTTTTTAAAGGAGTCTGTTTGGTTAAGAGGTCATGTTGGACACAAGATGGAAGAATAAAGCAAGATTGCTTTCCAGGGTATACCACCCAGAAATTTGTTTTGTGGAAAAGGTTAGCAGGCCATGATGATTTCCACAGAAAGGCAGGTGCAGTATTGTCCGTGTGGCACACTTGTGAGCTTCACATGGACATAATGCACATGTAGTACACAGGAACCATGCTGAGACATTGCAATCTGTGTGTCTGCTCATTTGCTGGAGAAAACAAATTGTTTTGCAGTCTTCAAAGTGAATATTATGTGTATTTTCCTTTACAAAAGCCAAATTAGATGTCGGTGAAGACATAAGATTGCATAGTTTTTGTAGAGCAGTTAATTAAATTGGTTTGTGTAGCAATAGAATGGGAAGAAAGAATATATATTCTCAAATTTCTTAGTTAAATTTGTTGTTGGGAAGGTCAAGCAGAGGAATGAGATTTCGCTAGTAAGTTTAGCTGCCCAGATTTGCCAATAAATGAAAGTTAGAAACTTGATTTCTATTTTAATATATCTATTTCTATTTTTATACATCTAATAACAGATATATAAAAATATATATAATTTTACAGTACAAGTAATAGTTGTTGACTTGTATGGAAAAACAAACAGTGTGATGAATAATTTTTCAGATTTGCATTCATCTGTGGGTATTAGCAGTTGACAAAGGATCACATTGAAAAAAATTGTATTATTTCATAAGTGATTTTTACTGTATGTACATTGGAATCACGTAAGACCATTCTGTATATTTAAAATTAACTAGCAAAGTAAAGCAGAATATATTGAGTCTCCAAATCTGAAATACACTTCAGCAAAAAGACATTTCTGTTATCGGTTTTTTTCTTTTCTGTTATCCTGTTTCTTTCTAATGTGCATACTTGTTAGGGGCTGTGGTTAATTATACACCTTGCAAAGGGATGAAAACTGAATCACTGGTAAAAACTTTTTTTAGACATTCTGTCATTTTTATTTACAAAGTCTTTCCTTCCCTGTCGATGTACCTACTTCCTTGTAAAGTGTAGCGCAAATCATCCGAGTGCAGAGGATCAAAACGTGTGCTGGAATAGGTTGCTCTTTCACTGTGCAGATGTCTTTAGTTTATAACATTGTGGCAGATTCAGTTTTTTGATCATTAATTTCGTATGATTGTAACACTACAAGAGAAGTTGGGCTTTTAAAATGTAAAGCTAGTGACCATTTTAGAAGAAAACTGTGCTGTTTGTCTAAGGGTTAGAGTCTCATTGTTGTACAGTGTTGAACAAAAAAAAAATCTAAATTTTTTAAATAAAAAAGGAGTGCCAGACAATTTAGTAGCATTTCATAATACAGCATGATGAGAACTTGGTAAAAGAAAGGCAGTCTATTAACCTTGCTTTTACTGTGAAGACCTTCAGCTGAAGTACCAGAGTTGTATTCAATAGAAAAGGCTTGACCTTGGAATAAAAGTGTGTATTCCTGGAACCCTCATTTTTAATTAAAAAAAAGTTGCATTGAAAAGATAAGCAAAAGTGCTTACTCTCCTAGCTGAAAGAAAAATTTGATGTCATTTATCTTCTTGCTTGCATACCATCTGCACCCCCAGGCACAGCTCAGTTTCAGCAAGGGCGGTACAGAAGTCCATGTGCACTACAAGTGTTTGAAATACTGGCAAAGCAAATGGATAGGGAACACATGATAAATTTTCTGGACATCTTTTGCAAGTGGATGTGTCAGCACTATGTGTGTTTGTACACCTGGTCCAGTAACTTGCTTTGCTTCGTGGAATGAATCATTGTCTGTGTTAATGCAGGGTTTAGGAATCTCAGTTAAGGGACTGGTGCTGTGCAGCTGTGGGACAAAATCATGTTCCCTGCCTCCTGAGAGCTTATGAGATAAGAATACAAGTGAGCAGAAGTAGGCAAAAGAAAAGAATGGCAAGAAAAGGGTGGTTTGCAGGCAAAAGCTGTAGCAGAGGATCAGTGACTGTTGTCCTCTTTCCCATGGGTAGGGTGGGAAGGGAGTTTTCTAACATGGGGGAGAGCAGGGTGATGGCTGTGTCTATGTACAAATGTGGCTGTCTGAGGGCTGAAGGAGTGAGTGCTGGAGACGGATGTCACGGTGGGACCAGAGGCCTATGAAGAGTTGGTCAGTAGGGTGTGATGAATTGTATGGAGAGCTGGGCAGTGGGTCTTGGCAGAGTGCTCAGGTAGGACGTCTCTGCAGCCAGATACACTTTGTCAAGGGAAAAAGAGGTTGTGGTGGTCAAGGCACGACTTGGGTGAGAGTTTTCCTTATGTGACTGGATATGGAAGGCCCCCTCTGCAGCAAAATAGCAGAAAGAGCCCAACAGAGGGTAGAATGAATGTGTGAGCCCCAGGCATAGTTCTGTTCCTGCTGTGGAGGGACAGGCCTGCCTGGGGCTGATGGCCACACTACCTGAGAAGGGCGGAGAGGTTGAGGGTTTCCATGTCAACTCTCTGAAAGATGTTATAATGAACTGTGAACAGAATCTGGTCTATGAATTTAGTTACTTCTGTGGTTTTCACCCACCTTGCTCTCATTAATGTTAATAAGGTCTTTTATAAGAAGTATTATTGCATGTGGATGGATGGCTTGGACTACTTCTTTTCTCCTGTTTGGCGAGGAGCCGAAGGTCCTTGTGGGCAGCAGCAGATGACAGCCATTTTGATGGAATCCTTTTGCTGGGATCCTTCTTGTGTCTATACTGGCTTAAAAGTCACTTTTCATATTCAAAAGCATGCCTGTTAAAATATTACAGGATTGCAAGACTGAGCCGGCAAGAGTCCATGAAACAGCTGTTCAGTGCAAAGTCACTTTAAAAAATTACATATTAGCCTTTTGATTAATAACATGCTTGTAGCCGTGGGTTAATCTTGCAGAAGGACCCTCCAGCCCCAATCTGTAGAAGTATTAGCTATCACAGTCATTACCAGCATGTCCTATTAAGACTGACCAACTCTTCACATGTCAAGTAAACATTCAGCTTTAGGCCTGTCTGTCATTTATCACTGAGCTGGGGACACTGAGCAGAGCTAAATTAAAAACTGCTGTCCCTCCTCTGGCTCTGTCTATGTCCTTAAAAATACCTGTCTTATAAGCAAGGCAGCAGATAATGTTTGTAATGTCAAAGCAAAACTTTTCTTTCAAGACTTTTTCACAGATAGAAAAAAACCTAGTACAGTGTCATGTGGATTGTTTTTGTAAAATTATTAAAAAATGAAGAAGCAGTCAATAAAACCTTCTGAGTGAAAGGAGGTTTCTAGACTTCGATAACAACATCCAGGCCTTTTCCCAATTTACTGCTACTTCTCCTTATCCCTATGCTAATTATCCAGCTTTGTGGTAATCGGATGTCTGGTTCTCATTTATTGTGTTTTATAATTGCGTATTCATCCAGCTCTTATCACAAAGCTGGATGCTTTGGCTCTGTTTTCCCTCCCTTAAATAATTTATATGTAAGGTTCAGCAAATGGAACCTTGCTACTTGTGTGAAGCTGCCATTTAACCATGAAGGGAAATGCTTTTATCGAGTTTGCCCTGCAGATATGGTCCGCTGTGGCAGTGCTGTCCATATTTGGTGGCTGTGCAAGGAGAGCCAGGTGGTGCTGCAAAGCATAGCACAGTGAAGCGTGGACAGATCTAGGTTTGACATTTGTCATCCTGTACTGCTAAAGGGAAGAGAAAAATCTGCTTTTCCATATGCTTATGCTTTAATTTTTGCCTGCAGTTTTGTCCAGATGGCCTTGTGAACATTGTTTACTTTAAGATGCTGTCCCAGATGTTTTTGAATGCCGATGGATAAATGCAACAACTCTGGTATACTAATACACAAATTATTTACACAATTTTGGTTTTATCTCCCCTCTTTTTTTTTTCCTTTTTAACCATCTCTTCTCCCCAGCACTACTCTGCATGGCCCACTTCTCTGAGGGGAGAACATCTCCACTTATGTTATTAAACTTTTGACAGTGAGCCATGCTTTTGAGTTGCAGATATTTGGAGCCCCTATTCCCCTGCTATGGTCGTTCTGAAGCTCTGTGTGGGTGGATGAGCATGCCCCTTGTAAGCATGGCAATTAAAAGGTGTTGCTGCTTGTAGCCCATGAAACAGTGAGTATTTCAGGGTGTGAGCAGCTCGTTTGTCAATCGTTGCATTCAAAAACACTTTCCTTTTTCAAGAACTCAGTCTTTTACTTTGCCCTTGTACTGTCTTAAATTTTCCATCCGAGTGGAGTAATTTAAAGCTGTGTAAGCAGTATTAACAAGAACATTTAAAAATGTTTTTAAACAGCAAAGCACCTCCAACTGTGTTTTGACAAACTCTGATACAATTTGTAAGAATAGTTACGCCTTGATGGCACTGTAGGGTGCAGGGAGACTGCTTTAGAAGCTTGTTGCCAGATACAACAGCTATTTTAATGACTTCTTTTTTATATAATTATATTTTTTCATCTTCTAAGCAAGAAGCTACCTAGGAGTGTACATAAAAGAACCTTTTGGCATGAGAATTTCATTAACGTAAATAGGTCTGTTAGTTATTTCTCAAGAACACTTTAATGAGACTTCAATGTGAAACTCATTAGAACAAATATATGAATTCATATGTCAAGACAGAGATTGTAGCATCACAGTTCTTGGCATCTATTAAGTCCATAACTCGTTTACATTGACGTGCATTGTTAATCAATATTTAAGACACTGCAGATGTCAGTAATGTTCATATTTAGTCCTGCAACCATGACAATATGAAAGTTGCTAGTAGAATTCAAGACTAAATGTTGTTATCTCAAGTCTTTCCATTACCTCTAGGCTACAAGTTAATGACTGTCTAACTTTACTGCCCTTTATCTATTTAAATAATAAGGGAAGTAGGGAATTATATGGGTGTTATACTGGTAGCATAGTTTTAAAAATTTTTGTTACTTGAAATTAAAACACTAGCATTGTATGTATGTGGGCTGTGCTAGCAAGTCCTCAAGCTGTGACAAAGGGAGGTGGGTTGAAGAGCAAATGTAGTATTTGAGCAAACTGATAATGACTCTAACTGGGCTGACAAGGGTTGACAAGGCAATTCGAATGGAGTGCAATAATTGATAAAGACTTGCAGCATTCAGGTGGTAACTTTTGGTTACCTCTCTTCAAATCCACCAAAAAGCAGCCTTTGTGTGGCGTTTCTAATGTGTCTGATGAATGTATATCTCAACTGCCTATTGTTAACAAGCTAACAGAGCTCATTTTATTTCATTTATTGCTTGCATAATTTTAGAAGTTACAGCCTTATGGGACAGTATGATTATTGTGGAAGTTTTTGTTGGATGTACGTAGTTGTTGGGGTGGGATTTGGGGATTTTTTCCCCCCAGGGCTTTAACTGGTGAGATTGCATAAAGCAGCATCTTAGAGTATCATCAAGGTATCTTTCCACATATGTTAAAATTGAGAAACATAATAATGGAAGGACTACATTGATAAAACTATGCAATTACATAGTCATATTAATCTATAGTTTAATTATAGGTTCATCAAAAATCTTACGTCTTCGTGAAGAAAACAGTGAAACAAGTGAAATACTAAAAGGAAAAAATTCTGGCAATGGTGCATCAATTCCAGTTAAAGGAATAAATAACTTAGGAAATACTTGCTTTTTTAATGCTGTCATGCAGGTAAGATGGAAAGATCATACCACTTTCTCTTCACAGATTTCAAAAATACTATATCGGTATAATCAGTGGGCTTCAGAAAAGGTTCTGAGTTACCAGTCTTCATTCTGCTTTCTCAAGGTCCTTTACAAATTCTTTTTACTCCTTACTATCCCAGGATTATTTCCTGTTATAGCAAAAAAGAATTCTCGGATCAGTAGCATTTTGTACGTAACGAGACAAGTGAAAAGGTCAAGTGTTTTACACACTGCATACGTGTGTGGGTTGTACTCTAGCATGTAGTTTTAATTGTAGTTCAGCATTAGCAGTTATGAGTAATGCAAGGTATTTACTGTACCGGTGGTGTGAGTAGTGGTACTATGTGTGTAATGTAAATGTCTGCACACTAAATTGTGACAGTTTTAAGCCCCTACAATGGATGCAGTTATAAAATTACTTTTATTGATTATGATTTTTTTCATAATAGAATAAGAGGAATGAGCTATACTAATACACTTCTATTGATATACAACTAATCCAACATTCTCAAAAAAGGCAGCAGCCTTCGCAGGTTTTATGTTGGACCATCCCATTGCTTGTCAGCTGAGCAGAGACATCTGTATGTCTGCAGACGGGAGTGAACAAATGAGGGAAAACTGCTATAAAGGTGTTCTGCACTGGCACACTTTACCTTGTGTTTATAGTGTTGATTACAAAATTCAATAAACAAATAGTAAAATTGTAAGGAGTAGATTTACTGTAGATTGTTATCTGTTAATACTTAGGGCATCATAGAGAAGGGAGGGATCTGCAGTCAAAGGTAATAAAAAATAAAGAAACAATGTGTTGGTTTCTCTCCTCAATTCAGGGAGGTAATGCTTTTCAGTGTGCCAAAGTCTTTGTGCTTTATGAGGTGTGATGAGAGGGACTGCAGAGTTTAAAAAGAGACAAATGATTTCTGATACTAATGTCCTCACCGTAAAAAAAATAAATTAATGAATCTTGTTGTTCAACAAAAATAACAAAGTTATTACTAGGAAACTATTTTGAAATTACAGAAAAAGAAATAGATACAATTTTAGAAACAAGTCAGATCAGTGATTTTTCTAGTGCTTTTTCTAGTGGTCTGACCTAAACCTCAGTTATATATTATGAAATAGATCTGGTTTTGTCTATGCCTGAAGCTAGAATATGTAACTAAAGAAAACTGTGTAATTGAAAGATCAGCATGTTTCTTTTTTTTTCTTTAAGAACTTGGCACAGACTCATGTACTAAATGAACTGATATATGAGATGAAGGAGAAAGGAACAAAGTTAAAAATCTGTCATGCTTCAGACTCCCAGTTGGTAAGTATGTATTGAGAAATACAAATCTGGGGAACTGTGGGAAGAAGCTGGAGGACAGGGAGTCACATCTCTGTTAAAGGCACACTGTTACTTTCCCATTTCTTTTGCCTTTTAATTGTTTAGCTGTTTTATGTTATCTGTGAACTCATTTCTTTTACAAAAATCATTATTCAGCCCTGGAGGAGGAGGAATAATGACTTGCTTTCACATGAAGTATCAAATAATGCCTGACCTTAAGTAAGAGAGGCTGGCTTATTTTTGTTTGTCATTGAATTTCTTCAATATGAATGTATGATACAGGAGATAGTCTATTCAGCTCTAGAAAGTGTTAATAAAATATTTTATTCCAGTCTGTCCCAGCCATTGATAAGGCTTGTAAAATTTATTATGTGCTTCACAGGCTAGAGGATTAAAATGAGAGAGGCAAAATTTCACTGAGGAAAAAATTTCTTGTCCTCGAGCTCATTGCAGGCATATGGGAAAGAGACTCCTGTGGCTGTTATCCAAAGAATATTCTGCTGTTCCTGTCATGTCTTAGAGACTTGGACTTTCATATGTTGTTGGCAATAAAGATAATACCCCTTTCCCTCAGCTGGTTAAAGCAAACAGTTTACAGAAGATTTTTGTTTCTTTTTTTTCCTTTTTTTTTCTGCTTTTTGCTGGGAGCTTTTTGGTGGCAGTGAGGGTGGAGTGGTGGTATTCTGTTTCAGATACCTCTGAAATGATGAAGATTTCTTGGCATTGCTGTAGGTGATGTTCATAGCCTGTATAGGCAAGAACAGTGTGAAATTCACTGCATTGCTGTCTTTATTTCCTCCAGTGGTAGTTCTCAGCAGCCACATGTTTCACTAAGTTATCCTGAGCCACAATGGAGGTCTGGAGCTTGTTTTTGCCCAAAGGCTTAGAAAGCCAGTGAGATGTTGGCTTATGCTTGATGCGAAACTTGCACAGCCATAAGGTTGAAAGATTAATTTTTTGTTTAATGACAATGCTTACAATGTAAATAAGGTCTTTGGAACAAAGACTGTATTTTCTGGTCTTTGTTTTTGTTTGTCAACTCAAAATTAGAGGGCTGCAGTAGTCTAACTAATAGTAATGTAGAAATCTGCAGCTTCCCGCTTGGTAAGGGGCATTTTCCCACTTTTCGATAGCGTATATAAAGCAAATACTTTATATTTGTGGGTATCCATAGCGCTTACATTTTGTGTGGATCTGCTTTCTGGACGAGGCACTCTCTCTAATTGTTTGTCTGGCTGTTGTAATCTGTTTTTCTGAGAGTCAGGCCACCTAGTAGGGAGCACTGTGGTCATGTATGAACCTTGGAGCGTGTTAGGGAGAGCTGGTGGTCTGTGATCGCTGTGAACCACTGCTGGTGCCTTCATGGCACCTGGTTCTTGGAGGAACAGGGTGTGTTTCTGTGTGGAAATCTCAGTGTGTGGCTCACAGGTCAGAGAAGCTGGCCACCCCGTTCCTAAGGTTGAGTAACAGGGAGCCACTGAGCACCATCTTACACTGGCCCACAGAGATGGTCACTTGGGCTGTCACTCCAACTGAGTTTCAGTGCCATCTGGGAGTAAGAGTAAAGCAGGTAATACAGGAAGGTAGTCTGTTTTTGTGAGAAACAGGCTGGCTCAATGACATACCTGTTTCCAAAACTATTGGTTACCACCAGTTTTCTCAACAAGAATTGTTTTGTTTTGCAACTATTACAGCTTAAACAATAAGCTTTCTCTTCAGTAATTTCAATCATGTAGGTGACATCAACATTTAAAAAACCCCACCCCAGAACACTCTTAAGACCAAAGTTACATTACTCTTTATCATGAATGTAGTAACTTGAAAGAAGTCTTTGAAATCTGATGTGCATTTTACCTTTGTTTTGAAGGATCCTTTGGTGGTAAACCTTTCCAGCCCGGGACCTTTGACTTCAGCGATGTTCTTGTTCCTTCACAGTATGAGGGAGGCTGGAAAAGGTCCTCTTTCTCCCAAAGTGCTGTTCAGCCAGCTTTGTCAAAAGTATGTATTGTCAGTATCTTTTACTTATTCATTTAATTTTAATTTTTACTGGTGTGTTTCTAAGTGTGCTATGTCTTGTACTTTCTAAGGTGCCGTTGGATTTTTACTGGGCAGTCCAGAAAATATTTTCTTCATATTTTAAAGTTGTGGGACTCCTTGTTGCACTCCAGGGTTGTACCTGCCCTTCATGTAATGTATGGTCCAGTTCATAACCACTAATGTTTAATGGGCTTTGAACTGAGTGTGAGGGGGCAGAAGAGGGCATGATAAAACTGAAGAAAATAGGATTACCTTTCAGGTTTTGTTGTGTATTAGCATATTAGCATAAAGCTGTGCTAATACTGCGAAGTGTATGTAGGTATTTTGTAAAAAAGAGTAAGATTTTAAATGGGAAACCTCTGCAATGATGTCTAACCTTGGCATCAATTCAAAATTAAAAAGAGTGTAACAAGTAAGGACTTGAAGCAGTACTGAAATGGCATATGGTTCCAGATTGCGGAGAGCTTATAAGCCCTAAAGAAAGTCCTGTTTCTTGGTGTGGAAAATGTTTACAGTGGTGCTTTGTAGGTGCTTTCAATTATGATGCAAACAGTCTTGCTTTTTAAAACACCTGTGGAAGACCTATTTAAAAGTTGATACAAATATTTAAATATTGACTTACAAGCAAAAGAAGCTGTAGAATCAGAGTAACTGGAGGATGGTATATCTGAATCTCACATTTAAAAAAGAATAATATTGCATGTTAATTTATTTGCTATGGTATTATTTATGGAACTGTAAGCGTTCTGCAGCAAGAGAATTAGGAAAGTTGCAGCCTCCTACCATGGCTTTCCAGGACAATCCTATTGGGCAATGGATTTAAAATATGGTATAAAGAAACAAAAGCTTTTAGATTAGAGCAGGGACAATTGAATTCTGTAAAGAAATAACTAATTACTTTTCTTTATTCTCAAAACTCAACTTCAGAAACTAAACATTATATTTTTTTACTGTATTTGTCTTCCTTTTGATTCTTGTGAGCTATAAAAGAAAATGTGTATAAAGTGACCTTACAGCGATTTTGAATCAAACAGCAGTGTTCTCTCTTTAGCATTATCTGGAAGAAAATATATAGGGAAAAAAAATACATTGTTTTCTCACTCCTCCTCCTCCTGTTTTGAGGATGTCTCAAAAAAATGTGATTATAAGGATAAAATTTGGCTGAGAAATGGAAGGGAAATGATTAAATAACAGTAGTAGTTTTTTCCCAGTAAATATTAAGGATAGAAGGGATAGGATGATATAAAACATGTTTTGAAGCCCACCTTAGCAAATTCATTGTGAAATAATCATGATGCACTGCACTTCAGATGGCATTGTATTTTTAAAGTGGTATTTATTTTGTATCTGCTCTGTGTCTGTTTATGTAGTCATCAAGTGATGTGTAGCAGTATTAAATCTCAGCTATCTAGTTGTTCTTTTATTGTTGTTTTTTTGTTTTTAAGATGGGCATATACTTTAACTACCAGCTAAAACTGAAACATTTTAATGTGGGCAGTAGAATTTTGCTGTTTAGACATGTATCTGCCCACTTCTACCATCTCTTGCCTTCATTCCTACTTCTTACTTTTGTTATCCTTGCAGAACACAACATAGATATAAATCCTTCTGTAGCTCTACTGTCAATATCAAAAGTGTCAGCTGCGTCCTGTTAGCAGGAAGTTAGGTGTTCAGGGTCAGATAAGGGGCTGGACAGGTATGACAGAAGGGTTGGTTTTTTTTATTGTTTTCTTATTGGTGGTGAGATAAACAAGAAATAAGAAGGGGAGTTTAAGCAAATTCAGCAGTCTGCAGTGGTAGAAGGAGAATGCAGTGTTCTGTCATGCCATGTTTACAAAGCCTTTTTTCATCTTTTAAAACTGGCTTTCTACTCTTCAGCAAAGCTTAAATGGAAAAGAGAGTGATTACAAGAGTCCCAGCTAGGAAGAAGTCTGTGGTACTGCAGCATTCTCTGTAAAAAACTGCTTCTTGAATCCTGCCAGAAAGTTGTGTTAATAAAGTCATCTTAGAGGCATGCACTACTTGTGTTTTTCATATTGAATTAGCACAAACTCCTTCTATTCAACAAGTAAAGTTCAAGCAAGTTTCCTACAGAGATGACAGAGTGAATGTGTAAAAGGAAGAACTACACTGAAACAAAATGTTTGTATTTCAGAGAGATATGTCAGAGAAAGACAGGTCTGTTAACTACTGAGGAGGATGGCATGGGGAAGGACTTTTAATAGCAGTGGATTGGGTTTATATATTTTACATAAAAGTTTGCTGATTCTGGTTGCAATCTCATTTTTGGTCTTTTGTTGGTTTTGTTTGGTTGGTTGGTTTTGTTTGGTTTGGGGTTTTTTATTTTTTAATTTATTCTTTCCCCATCACAGATTCAAGTCTACAGTATATGACCATACCTTTCTTCAGTACAGAATTTATGAAGCAGATTGTGCAGATAGTATAGGATAAACTTGTCTGTGATATCAGGAGTTGGACTCAGTGACCCAGGAATTGTCTTCCCAGTCCCAGCTTTTGCCATAACATTATTTTCAGTAGTTGCTTATAGCTTGCAAAACATGGCAGGGATGCACACACTGAGTGGTCATTCAGAATATAAGATGTTTTGCTTAGTACTTAGCATAGTCACTTCCAAATACTACTAGGTTTCTTACACATGTGAATGGTTGAAATGCTGAAGCTGTCAGCAGGTGATGGTATGCTGCTGTTCTTTATATGCTTAGATCTTCTTGTTAGGGTTGTTACAGTATGCTATCTAGTGAAAAAGTAACAGCAATTTCTTATTAATGTTTTCCTCATGTGTAGCACAAAGCTGATCCTGTAAAAATGCTTACTTTTCTCTAACGACACAATTGGATTCTATATATAAAAAATATAAATTTTGATAAATGAGTATTGATGAGTAGTGATGGATTTTTGTTTTTTAATCTCCTAGCTAGATGGTGACATATTTTCATGTTGGATAAGTTGATTCAAGATACAGTAAAGGTAGCTGTATAATTTAATGCCTGACACGTGCCCTCATTTCCAGTTCAATGCTGGAATAATACTTCTGAATTTAATGTCTGGAGTTGCTTTTTTTAGATGTCGCTGTAAGACATCAGGACTCAACCTGCTTCAGATGTTGCAGTATGCAAGAGTTTGAATGCTAACATTTGAACTGGGCATCCTTACTCAAAAATTGAAAAGTGCTCAGTGAAAGAAGACCTAAGAAGGCAGGCAGGAAGGAAAGTAGGAAGGAAGGGGGGGCTTAAAAGGAGCAGGCAAAGGCACATAGGAGTGAGGTTAGGTGTGGGCAGAGAGCCTGTAAAGAAAGGCCTTGTTCAGCTGCAGCTCTAGCATGTCATTTTGTGGGATCCCAAATCTCCAAGTGGATACATGTTCACTACTCAAAAGCAGTAAGGGAACTGGAACACAGTCCTTTTCAACTGCAGACTGCTTCTTTAAGAGTCTGAGGAGATCATGGCATGAAGTTCATAGTCTTGTGTATGAAAGGGGATCTGTGGTGCTTTTTTTATTTAATAGCAAAAGAAAAAAATAATCCCGAGTGTTAATTTTATCAAGTGGTGGGGTAGCCAGGTCGAAGAAGGGGAGAAGAAGAAAAGAAATGGACGAGTCTTTCTATAGCAACTGTTTAGCGTCTGGTACTAATTCATCCACTGTTAATTTTGTTAGTGTTGCAGCTGTCAGATGTTTTGCGAGGACAGATTGTGAGCATAGCTACGGGGCCCTTCTGTTGGTTTTCCACTATGCTGAATATCAGGACTGCAGACTTCTGACTTATCTGGAGACTTAGTAACTAATGCAACACTGATATATTAAGAGGATATAAATTTTATTTCCTTTATTTTTTATGACTGAATAATTTTATTGGTGGAAGAAAGCTTAGTTTTGTGGATCAAGTAAATGTTGTGGCATATAGGTGAGGAGTCCAGAAAAGAGTTACAGAATTTAGCTGCTTCAAACCTCCACCAAATAATTATCTATATAGGTATTATATAGATGCTACATTACCATGAAGGAAAAAATACTTCCCTAACAAAGAGCGTATTGGTGGTCACAGAATCTACATAGGTCTTACTTCCCCAAGGAGTATTCATCCTTCCTTCTCAGGTGCAGAAAGTAGAACTCGAGCCAGAGGTGGGACTGACAGAATGGAGGTCATGCACGGTGAGGAGTGTTGATAGTAATAGAACTATAGTTTTCGAGGGAAACCTAAACAATGCTTTGAGTATTCCACATATATCACTTCTGAGAGGAAATGCTAAGGAAAACTAAGGTAATGTTGTACAAGATATAAGGGGTGAAGGAAGCAGGATTTTTCTCATTAATTACAAGTCTTTGAGCCTTTTTTTTAAAAATAATATTGCTGTAGGGGAAATATCTTTTTAGAAAAGATTTTCAGCTTGCTTATTTTTCCCATTTGACTTTTATCATTGAAAAATAATAACAGCAGAACACACAGCTGATGTTTCCTTGACCAATTGTTAAGAATTATTTTGTGTCCCTGTCAAGCCCTCCTTGTCCCTTGCTGACAGTGCTGCGGCATGTTCAGGAGCTCTGACAGAGGAGATTACATCTTCTTCTCTGTGCAGCAGCAGTTGAGAGACTGCATGTCTTTTTTTTCAGAAAACTTCATCAGAGTTTTCATGATATTAGGAACAAGTTAACAAAGCTGGGTGGATGAAGTTTTTGAGCGCAAAGTAGACGAATTGCATGTAAGAGTGTGCATTGGCAGAAATCATCTGCACATGTTCCTGAGTTTTGCGTTCACTTCCTCTACTCAGGGGGAAGACCTGTGCAGCATTGTGGAGAACACAAGTATTTGCAATGTGTGTGGTATTGGTGAGCTATGTAAGCAAAGCTTGTAGATCAAATGAAGGAGAAAACCAGTGATTTCATTAGGTACATTGGAGGTGTATTCTCAGTGCAATGTTCATATTAATCAGAATTTAGGGAGAGGTAAGAAAAATAGGAAGCCTTGATGTCACTAGGGACTTGAATACTGGGAGGAGAGAGCATGAAAAGAAGGCATGACAGCAAGAGAAGACAGTAAATGATAGAAAATAAATTAGCTGTGCTTCTTTAACTGACCTCATTAGAGTTCAAGTAGCTGTCTGCGAAACTGAAAGGCAACAGACTTAGAGCCTGAGAT